TTTGAGATGGAGTTTTGTTCTTGTTACCCAGGCTGGAGTGCGATGACACAGCCTTGGCTCACTGCAACATTTGCCTCCTGGGTTCAATCGATTCTCCTGCCTCAGCCTCCCAAATAGCTGGGATTACAGGCACTCACCACCATGCCCAGCTAATTTTTGTATTTTTAGTAGAAACGGGGTTTCACCATGTTGGCCAGGCTGGTCTCAAACTCCTGACCTCAGGTGATCTGCCTGTCTTGGCCTCCCACAGTGCTGGGATTACAGGTGTGAGCCACCACGCCCAGTCTGACTTTGTAACTGTCTATCAAATGATACTTTGCACCATTTTCCCTGGATAATTTTGTGTAGTTGTTTGATAGGTACACATTTCATAAAGGCTGGTTTCAGGGCTGGAGTCTCAGAGTTGTTAAAAAATTGTTCTTCCTGCAGGAATTATGTTATGCAAAGGAAGGAGGATGCCTCCTACACCTGTCTGTATATTTTATTACCAAAATGAAAAATATTAAAGTGGTTGATTAAAGAGAACAAACCTGAACAGCACTGAGAACAAGCAAGGGAAAAACTGAAGAGTTGAAAAGATGAAAGGAAAAAAGATGACTAAGCAGATCATCCAAATGAGCACAGCTTACAGTGGTGGACAGCAACCAAGAGAAGGTGACAACTGTCTCCTTGAACAGAGCCAGTGATGGCCCGATGCTGGCCTGCAACTGTTCACATAAACAAAACATGTGTAAGGTTTGTCATAAACCGCTATTATGCATTTTACTTTATAAATTTAAAATAAAGCAAGGGCTGGTGAGGAGGAATAAGTTCTAGTGTTCTACAGCACTATAGGGTGAATATAACTAACACAATTTATAATATAATTTCCAAATACCCAGAAGAGTGGATTTTGAAGGTTTCCAACACAAAGAAATGATAAACATTTGAGGTGATGGATATGCTAATTAACTTGATTGATCATTACACATTGTTTACATGCATCAAAATATCACTCTGTACCCCATAAGTATATACAATTACTACATGTCAATTAAAAAGAATAAATGCCAAAAATAAAATAAAATAATAAACACATGAAGGAAAGGAAAAAATAAAATAGAGCAAGGACTTCTGGAATATCTTATGCAAATGTATGCAAATGAGCACACCAATATATACAGAAAAGCAAAAGCAAGCATGTCCTTTCCTGTTTTGCATAAATGAACCCTGTTATCTCATTTTAAAATCAGCTCTGCAACAAAGTCTACCAGAAACAAGAGCACATACGGTCTGATTTCTTTTTTAAGAACAGGTGAAGCTGAACTATAATGATAGAAGTCAGAGTAGTGGTTTCCTGGTGGGGAGGATTGACTGGTGAGGAGCACAGAAGATTCTCTAGGTGATGTAAATGTTACATCTCCACCTGGAGATGGTGGCTATAGGAAAAGCTTGATACATGTTTTCCTGACTGGAAGCTGCCCTTGTTAACACTCATGTGGCTTCTAGGTAGTAGCTGCCTGCCCTGTCTGCTTTCCCTTTGTGTTGATCCCACATACTGTCATGTGGCATGCCTGTATCGAAGCAAATGTGGTATCCGGGGGTATGGCTCAGGGATGGGCCTCTCAGCAGCCTCAGTCTTGCTCACATTTGGGGGAACAGAACACACCTGGAGAAATAAGACCTCCTTTTGCCCTCCATACATTGGTGAGCATTTCTACCTGGAGCAATGCCAGCCTGTCAGAGCCCAAGTGAGGAAAGAGACAGCCTGGTTCAGCCCCATCACTCAATCCACCTACCATCCTCACCTGTCAATGGCGATGGCCAGCAAGGCATTGGTGGAGACGTAGAGGGAGACGGTGCGCAGGTAGTTGACGGAGGCACAGAGCACGTGGCCATGCTCCCAGGAGAGCTGCCGGATCACATAGTAGTCCATCTCGAAGGGGCAGCAGATGATGGCCACCAGGAAGTCGGAGATGGCCAGGTTGGCAATGAGCAGATTGGTGAGGTTGCGCAGCTTCTTATAGCGGGTGAGGGCAGCGATAAAGACAAAGTTACCGACACCACAGACAAGCATGATGCCTGCCAGTGCAATGCCGATGACGATCTTGGCTGCAAAGAAGGTCCGGGTCTTGGTCATGTCCTCATCCTCATCCATAGGGAGGTCGTAATCACCATAACTGAAGTTAAAGGAGAGGGAGGAGGCATGGTCTTGGGGTGGATTAAAGTTGGGTGCAAAACTCGTGTTTCCATTCTGGGCTGCCATGGTGATGCCTGCAAGAAAAGTGGTGTGAGGGAGGTGCGAGGGGTAGGGGTGCAGACCTCCGGCTCTCTCGGGGTTGGTGAGCCTGGCACCCTGCCCACATCCTTGGGGAGACTTGACTCACCATCCTGGATCCTGGAAGGAGGCACAACCAGTGGACAGCATGCAGGAGAATATCTGGTCACATTCTCTGAGTTCCCCAGGTATAGGCCAACCAGACCCACTGCCTACCCAGATGGAACTACCCAGGATGCTGGGAGAGGATACCCGAGATCTGTAAGCTGGGAAGCCCTCTGTGGCTGCCCAGCTGTCGGGAAGGATGGCATAGGATGGATCAGACTCTCCAAAACTCTCAAGAAGAATGTGCGCCTTTGCCCTTTGCCCAGGGACCAGGGCCTCTTTGTCTGCCCAGTCACATCCTCCAGCTCCCCATGCATCAACTCCCGCAGGGGCTTCTGGAACTCTTCCAAGGCTGCTCCCAGGTGCTGGCCCAGCTCCTACAGCAGTCGCAATGTTGTGGCACCTGTTGGCCAGAGACAATGAAGCAGGATGGCCAGGACACTGCAGGGTCTTCTCTCCAAAAGCAGGACATCACTCCCTCTGTACTGACCAAGCCACAGACTTGGAAATCATCAAGTCCATTTTCACATGGACAGACTGAGTCGCCCTGGGCCAGTGATTTATGCTCTCTGAGTCCTAATCTTCCTGTAAACCGAATTCCTGCTGCCCAGTCCAGTGCCTGGTGCATAGTGGTGGCTGGACCGGAATCTGTTGAGTGCATGACCGGGATGCTGTAGGTGGAGGAGACTGCATTGGGGTGGGGGAGTGGAATTCCCCTCTTGCTTCCCTGTTCTTAGGGAATGAGCTCCAGAAAGAAATCCTCTACCCGCCTTCCCCCACTGCTCCCACTCCTTTGGATCTGCTCCCTGACCTCCTTCACTCAGCTCTAGTTCTCCACCCAGAGTCAATCCTGCCTGAAAGACACCAATTCTGTCACCAAGGTCTCAAAACAGGGAAAATAATCTCTGAAGCCCTGAGCCCGGAGGAGACAGGGCACCCCAGGGTGCAAGGCTTCACCGAGGGGCTGGAAAAAGAACCCAGACCCCAACACCCACAGAAAGGGGCCCTGGCTGTCCAACTGTGAGTGGCCTTCCCCTCACCTTTCAGCACACCTGGAAACGACCTCATATGAGGGCGCCGCGGGGTGCTGTGTAGCAAGGAGAAGATCCAGCTGGACAACGCATTTGGTCCACTCCTGCGAGGAGAGGAGAACGCCGAGGGACAGGAACTGCGCCCCAGCGAAAGACACCCTAACCTGGGGTGCGCCCGCTAGCTCCTTTCCCAAGGTGAACACCTCCAAGAGGTGAGGTGCAAATCCCAGTGACATCCACATCCGGAGGTGTCTTCCCTCCAGGTCGCCACTCCGTCTCATGTGATACCCCAATCCCCGCAGCCTCTGCTCAGTCAGGGACCAAGAATCGGGAATCCTACCCCTCCTCGGCTTTCCAGTCCCCTAACCCGAGATGAGAGGACGCGCGCCCGGGCTGGGACAGGTCTCAGGCGCATTTTCACAGATAGCACTCCCCCCGTCCGGGAGCAACCCGTTCCAGCAGCCCCCTTCCTGCCCCATCAACGCGGCCGCACGGACGAGGTCTGGAGGCGACGCCCTGGCAGGGGCAGGAACCAAGTCACAAATTCAGGTTCCAGGCTGCGGTGCCTCCAGGCGGGAAGAAAACCGCAGGTGGGTGGAGGATGCGGTGCGCGGGAATTTCCCTACGGACGCTTGCTGTTTTCCGCTCACCTTTCAGGAAGGTGCCCCTCTACCTGCGCCCTCCCCGGCGACGTAGAGCTAGCCGGAGAGCTCAGCTACGCGCTGGCTCCCTCCGCCCGCGCCCACACACTCCAGGCCCCGCTTACCGTCCCCTGCCCGGTCCTAGAGGGCCCAGAGGGTATCTCCTGAAACCAACTCGCCTTCTTCGAGCCAGCCCAGACGCATCTCGAGAGTGGCGGGAGGCAGCGCAGCCAGAATACCCCAGAGGAAAAAGTGGGCGTCGGAGGACCTTGTCCCAGCGACTCCCCCACCGCACCGAAGGAGTCCCGGGACTGCACGGATCTGAGCCCTTACCTGCCTCGGCGCCTCCTCTCTGTGCGCTCTGCGGCCCCGGAAGCCGGATCGAGGGTCACAGGGTGGTTGGGCACCGGCGGGCCGCTTGGTTTTCGCCTCGAGGACCGGGACTTGCACTTGCAGAACCGCTGCGTGGGGGATGTCCCTCTTTTTTCCTCGCCCTGGGGCGCTTCCCCAGCGCGTCGCGGTCTCTGGGTTCCAGCTGGAGTTGGCGCTCGCCCCCGCAGCTCTTTCCTGTGGCTTGGACCTGTGAGCCCCGCCCCGCGCTCGACTCCGCCCCGGGGTCCCCGCCAGCCTCCGAACCGAGGCCGAGGGTGGGTGCCCAGCTCCCGCACCCCACGGCGTGCTCTCGGGCTGGTGCGTCCAGGGCGCCTGGCACCGTAGCTCTGGCCTCCCTGATGCGGGGCCCGGGACAGCGGGGGCCACCCCTCTCAGGGATTTCAGCGCCTTCGCCTGCAGTCTGAATCGGACCACAGTAGCCGGGTTTCGACCGTGAGCTTGCGAACAGCGAGCACCGCCCTCTGCTGCCAGCCGTGGCACGGCACCCGGGTCGCGGGCGCAGGAGCGGAGCGTACTGTCTTCCGGAGGTGCCCAGTGCCAGCGTCCGCGCCTACTACAAGGTGACTCTTTCAAGGAAAGCCCGGCTCCGACGAGTGCAGTGTGGGCCTTTCGGAGATGGCGGTGAAGGAGGAGGCCCCAGGAGGAAGCTGGGAATGGGGTCAGCTTGCCCCGCTCAAAGCCCCTGAAGTCCTCACTCAAACTTTTGGGATGACCACCGCTATCAGATTCCAGGGCCATATCCCAGGAGTGCCTCAGCCCATCTGTCCGAGAGTCCGGAGCCCTCCACTTTGCTTCTAACAGGCTCGAACTCCTCCCACGATCTCCCTGGTTAAACACAGGAACTGCCCATTCAAATGACTGGTGCCCAGGAAGCTCTGGGTGTACAGGATTGGACCTGTGGCAGGACCCTGAAGGTCTAAAAAGGTGTTTCCCATTGTTAAACCCCAGCCAGCGGATAATTGGCAGGTCAGAATATAGACTCCACTATGTCAGAACTTCCCTTTTTTTTTTTTTCCCCAAGGGAATCTGAAATTTGAGAACTTAAAAAATACTCTTTGTGTTTGTTAAAGCAAAATCCTTGTTTTGGCTAAAGAGAACTTGTCTCAGACTGAACACAGTCCACAGGACTGCCAATTAAAAAATTTGTGGGTGAATGAACTTCAAATCTCTTCAGGTTGTGACGTTCTGTGATTCTGACTTTCCCGCCTTAAGTGAAACTGACCCCACTCTCCTCCCCTCTTAGCATCTCTTCGGGCCTGATCAAAGGCAGGAGAGCCAGCTGTTTGCTTTCCTCCCGGGGAGGGGCTGCGATTGGGCAGGTGTTCTATAGGGTCAGGGCAAACTCCAGAGACAGAGGCAAAAGAGGCTCTGTTGCTCAAGGAAGGGAGGTGATGAGGTAGCCAATTACATGCCCTGGGCATGTTCTTTGGCATAGCTCATACTTTTCGACTTCAGCTAGAGGCTTCTCTGCTCATGGACCACGCCTGCCCTATTCAATGGGGGCAAACACCCCGGGAACATCTGCCTGCTGGTGCTTTCATGGAATCCTCTAAAGTACGGTTGCTTCCACACAGATTTGGAGACCTGCAGATGTCGTTGTAGTAACTCCAAATACTGACCACCCTCAGCAGAGTAGGAGCTTTTTCTGGGAGTGGACATGCGGTCCCCAGGGAGACAATGGGTGCTTAGAAAACGGTGCAACAGGCCGGGTGCGGTGGCTCATGCCTGTAATCTCAGCACTCTGGGAGACTGAGGCGGGTAGCTCACGAGGTCAGGAGATGGAAACCAGATTTTCATCCTGGCTAACATGGTGAAACCCCATCTCTACTAAAAACACAGAGAATTAGCCGGGCGTGGTGGCGCAAACCTGTAATCCCAGCTGCTCAGAAACCTGAGGCAGGAGAATCGCTTGAACCTGGGATGCGGAGGTTGCAGTGAGCCAAGATCGTGCCACTGTACCCCAGCCTGGTGACAGAGCAAGACTCAGAGAAAGAGAGAGAGAGAGAGAGAGAGAGAGGAGGAGGAGGAGGAGGAAGGAAGGAAGGAAAGAAGGAAGGAAGGAAGGAAAGAAGGAAGGAAGGAAAGAGAGAGAGAGAAAGAAAAAGAAAGTGCTATTGGGATTTGTCTCGGTTTGGGTTTCAGGAGACTCCCAGACAGGTGGAGGGGAAGTGAGACAGAGAAGGGAGAAGGGCTCGTACACTATATGCTAATAAGCAGTTGACCTGCAGACCGTGTGGAACATGCCACATGGTTGTTCACGGCAGCACAGGGAGGCTGGACATTCAGCCATCAATTTCTACCCCACCTCCCATGGACAGGTTACCTGAGGGCCAGAATTTCCCTCACTTTCAGGTTGTGTCCCAGCGTGGTGTAGAAAGCCCAAGGCTGAAAAGAAGAGAGCACCAGGCCTTGGGTGGGAGGTGTCATGGTGCCTGGAACTGCATCTGCCAGTGAGTCCAGGAGAGCAGAGGAGATTCCAGGCAGGCAATCACTCTCACAGCTGCTACAGGAGGGCAGCAGAGGGGACTTCCTTTCCAGAGGTGGGCAAGAGCCGTACTTCCACTGGAGTTCATAGACTGAACTGGGTGTGAACCCAGAGAAACTGGGTGAGCTGAGTGGGATTTTGAGAGGGGCTGAAGACTTTGCATTAGGTACTTGGAGGTAACTTACAACCCCACTTGGGCTCACAAAGCTGGCAAGAACTGGGGAAATGGAGATGACTTCGGTGACAATTATTAACGGACTTCTCCTTCTAGTCAAAGAGATGTCTCTAATTGCAAGCCCACAGTCTCTTCCCCTTATCTCTGAAAGAGACTTCTCTCTGAAGTCTTTCTGGTGAGAAAGGCTTAGCTGAACTACATGATAAAGTGCTTAGGAAGGGGAAGAGGCCAAGGGGAGGAGAGAAAAACCTTACAGGCCGGAGTTGCTACAGAGCCTCAGGGGAGGGATTATCTACACACAACTGGACATGAGAAAAATGGATGAGGTAAGGATACTTTGATACAGGGCCAGAAGATTATATATTGGAATCCATTTGAGAGACAAGAAGAATAAAAATTTAACAGGTGTAATATTTTGACAATATTAAATCTGAATGGTTTTTATTGTTCCCCCCACAAATCCTAGTGCATGGCAGCCACTCCACTCGTATAAATCCAGGAAATTGGAGTAGGTTAACGCCACCTCAGAATAACATCTCTCAAAGATACTCCCGAATGGGGGGGTGGAATTGTTGGGTCAGCCTGAGATGGCCAGATAGAGCCACATCTAGGAATTCTCCTAAATGGGAGAGGGAATATGTGTCACTACTCAGAATATGTGTCAGTATGTGTATAAAGGGTGAGAGAGTTCAGGGTTTGTCAGGTAAATCTGATTTTCAGATAATTTTTTAAAAATTACGTTTACTATTTATTTATTTTTTAGAGGCAGGGTCTCAATCTGTCACCTAAGCTGGAGTGCAGTAGCACAATCATAGCTCACTGTAGCCTCAAACTTAGGTTCAAGCGATCCTCCCACTTCAGCCTCCTGAGTAGCTGAGACTACAGCCTCAAACCCCAGTCTTGACCCCCAAATTATTTTTTTATTTTTATTTTTTTCTTTGGGGGGGCAGCGTTTCCCTGTGTCACCTAGACTGGAGCGCACTAGTGTGATTACCGCTCACTGCAGCCTGGCCTTTCCAAACTCAAGCAGTCTTTTAGCCACGGCCTCCCTAACAGATGGAAATATAGGTGCCTACCACCACACTCAGCTTTTTAAATTTTTTATTTTAGAAAACAAACAAGAAATGAGGTCTTGCCATGTTGCCCAGGCTGGTCTTGAACTCCTAGGCTTAAGTGATCTTCCCACCTCGGCCTCCCAAAATGCTGGGATTACAGGCATGATTCACAGCACCTGGCCCCTAAATTACTTTTGATAATTGTTTTATGTTTCTTGAAAGTGACTCCTTTCTAAGACAAAACCACATGGGTCTTCAGGTTTATAAAGGTTTTATATGTAAACTTTTTTAATTGTGAAGAAATTAATACAGATTCTCTGGAGCTTGATTTGCCAATAGATATTAAAAAGCCTTGAGGCTGGGCACAGTGGTTCATGCCTGTAATTCCAGCACTTCAGGAGGCCAAGATGAAAGGGTCCTTTGTGGCCAGGAGTTTGAGAACAGCCTGGGCAACATAGTGAGACCCCCGTTTCTACAATTTATTTTTTTAAATTTACTGGTATGATGGTAAATGCCTGTGGTCCCAACTTGCTTGGGAGGCTGAGGTGGAAGGATTGCTTGAGCCCAGAAGTTTGAGGCTACAGTGAGCTATGATCATGCCACTGCACTCCAGCCTGGGCAACAGAGTAAGATCCTGTCTCAAAAAAAAAAAAGTCTTAAAAAATATACCTCCCCTAATCTTTAATCTAGAAATTCTATTTTTATAACTTTATTTTATGGCGATAACGAATGAAGCAGGTAAAGATTTCGCCACAAGGATATTGATGGTAGTATTGTTTAGGATAACAAGAAGTTGAGAACAACTTGGATTTCTTACAACTTGGTTAAAATGTGATAAGAATGTCTTTTATGACATACCAGGCTCCCAGTTAAGTTTTTTGGATCAGTAATAAATTCCAATGATTCTAAAATCAACACACACACACAATTATGCATTGAAAAGTGTTGCTCTCACCCCTGTACCCATCTATTTTGTTCCCCTCGATTCCCCTTATGAGTTCCCGTTGTATCCTTCCTGTGCTGCTTTTTGTAAACACAATGGTATATTCTCATTTATTCCCCTTTAAGAAGTTTCCATATCAATATATATATAGGGCTTCTTTATTCTTTATTTTACAACTACAGAGTAGTCCACTGTGTGGATATACCACAGTTAATTTTTTTTTAAGGTCACTTGCTGGACACATTGGTTTAATATTTTCAAAATATGCCTGTTAAACTACAAATTGGGTTGTTTCCAATTTTTAGCTATTACAGTGCTGTAGTAAAAATGTTATACATATAACATTGCTTCAAAGAATAACTCTGACATAATGTCTTTTTGTATACGTGCAAATACGTTTGGATGACTAAATCCTAGATATGGTATTGCTGAATCAATGCTTTCGTGTAAATATTGTCACATTTAACTTTTTAGGGGGTCTCACTATTCAGTAGTCTTTGGAGGGTAGAGGTTAATACCAGGGGTGATCAATAATAAAATGTCAGCCAGGCATGGTGGCTCATACTTGTAATCCCAGTAACTTTGGGAGGCTGAGGCAGGAGGATAGCATGAGCCTAAGAGTTCAAGACCAGCCTGGGCAACATAGTGAGACCCTGTCTCCACACCACACACCACACATGGTGGTGTGTGCCTGCAGTCTCAGCTACTTAGGAGGCTGAGGTGGGAGGATTGCTTGAGCTCAGGAGGTTGAGGCCTCAGTGAGCTATGATCACGCCACTGCACACCCGTCTTGGCAACAGAGCAAGGCCCTGCTTCTTAAAAAAGTGCAGTAATAAAATGTCTGTTGTGTTCACAAAGGCAGTATTCAAGTGCCCGATTTCTCAGTAGTGCCTGTCTCTCACACAGGTCCTCAGTCCTTTTTTCTTCTACTTTTTCTTTTTCTTTCTTTCTTTTTTTTTTTTTTTGAGATGGAATTTTGCTCTTGTTGCTCAGGCTGGAGTGCAGTGGCAAGGTCTAGGCTTGGTTCAGGCTCATTGCAAATTCCACCTCCCTGGTTTAAGTGATTCTCTTGCCTCAGCCTCAAGAGTAGCTGGGATTACTGGTGCCTGCCACCACACCTGGCTAATTTTTGTATTTTTAGTAGAAACACGGTTCCACCATGTTGCCAAGGCTGATCTCAGGCTGGTCTCAAACTCCTGCCTCAGGTGATCCACCCACCTTGGTCTCCCGAAGTACTGGTATCACACGTGTGAGTCACGTGCCCAGCCAGGTCCTCAGTCCTGAATGCAGGTTCCTTTCAGTCATTCAAAGTATGATGGGGAGGGGCACTATTCTCAAGAAAATGACTTCAAGTTATTTTGTGTTTTTCCTTGTTTCTCTCCGGGAGTAATTAATCATCAAATTGAGAATGTACCCTTGTTATTGAATGCAGACATATTGTTAGGTATACTTTTTAACGTTGAAAGTAAATGTAATTAAACTCTATGAATC